GTTTTGGACCCGAACTGGGAATCAGAATTGGGGATAGTGCCACAAGCTTGACCTGCATTGGGACTTATTGCAACAACAAAATACAAAATTACATTAGTATGGCGCCTTTCACATCGGAAAGAAGTTCCAAGGTGCTGGACAATCAGTGTTTTGGACCCGAACTGGGGGTCAGAATTGGGGCAAGGAGGGTGATCAACAGCATGGTCAAAGAGGAGGGTCTTGAGATGGGTCTTGATGGAGACAAGGGAGAGGGCGGGGGGGAGGGACTGTGGGACGGAGTTCCAGAGGGTGGGGGCAGAGTGGCTGAAGGCCCACACACCAATAGTGGGCCTGGTGAGGTGGCGGACATGAAGCAGGCGGAGCCCGCTGAGCAGAGGGTGCGGGCAGGTTGGTAGGGGGTTAGGAGATCGCAGAGGTAGGGGGGAGCAAGGCCATGGAGGGCTTTGAAGGTGAGGACCAGGATTTTGAACTGTATCCTCTGTGTGATAGGAGCCAGTGAAGTTGGGTGAGGAGGGGGGGTGATAATGTCACGAAACCTGGTGCGGGAGAGGACACGGGCTGCAGAGTTCTGGATGATCTGCAGCCTATGGAGGGAGGAGTTGGGGAGGCCGACAAGCCGGGAGTTTGCATAGTCAAGCCTGGAGGTTACAAATACATATATGAGGGTTTCGGTGGCCTGAGGTGAGATAGTGGCGGAGCCGGGCGATGTTGCGGAGGTGGGGAAGGGCAGAGCAGGTCATGGCATGGATGTGGGGTAGAAAGGATAATTGAGAGCAAAACAAGACGCCAAGCTTCCGGACTGGCTTAGGTAAGGTGGTGTGTGCATCCTTGAATGGTGATGCTGCCAGTGCCTGAGATATGGAGACGCTAGCGGGAGCCAATCAGGAGGGACTTGGTCTTGTTGACGTTCAACTGAAGCAAGTTAGCTCTCATCCAGCACTTGATGTCTGACAGACATTCTGTCAGCACAGCAGTGATCCTGGAGTCAAGGGTGGAAGCAGAGAGATAGATGAAAACATAGTTCAAGCCTAGTTCTTGAATATAATAATGTGCCCATAATTTCATCTGAATACCTGACCAAGGAAGTGATCCTTCCAGAGCATTAATTTGGGGAAATTAATCTCCATGCCCTTCCCTTCATATCTGGCCATCATGTTGTGTAAATATTCCCAACCATGTGTCATGTCACATTTGTGTTTACTGACCTGACAGAACACTGTTTATGTATTTGCTTCACATTATTCACTCGAAATGGGGGCAGAATCTTAAGCATTCCCAACAACTTCAAATCATTATTCATCCCATCAGTCTGGCAATTATGTAGTTAAATCTCAGGAGAGAGGTTCATTGTAATTTGAATGGACTGTAGTGTAGCCATCATGCTAAGAAAGATATAAAAAGGTAGTTCATTCTTTTCCAACACAAAAAAATCTATGCCCAATGACTTATTAATTTCACCATTCCAAAAAACAATAATTCCTAGGCATGCAGTTATCAGTTAAGGTGGTAGGAATGAATGTATATAGCAAGTATCTGAGCGGGGCCACTGATATCCATCCAAAAAGAACATTGAAATCTATTCAATTCTGCAATGCTTGTGGTCCCTTTACACTGACTGCTAATCTTTGATTGGGAGAATGGGACTCAGAGACATATTAAGTGAATACGGTGAGAGATCTTCACGATCTACAGCAGATGTGGCCAACCTTTCAAAGCTCTAGAGCCAGAAAAATGGATTTTGTACTGACAAAGAGCCACACATTTCAACATAGTGGTTCTTCACTCAGAGATTGTAGTGTATTTAATCAATGCGCTGTACAAGTGCAAGAACATAAGAGCATTGTACAGCTTGAGAATGATGTCTAAGGATTAGAGCTCAACTGATTTGGCAATGTAACTCAGAATCCTATTCAACTTGATTAATGGTGCCTCACACTATTTAGGTGAGCGACAAATCCACTGTCAGCTGAGGCCTCTTTCAACTTCGCTTTGATAAGTACTCAACCAGTACCTCCCAGTTTTTGTTCCAGTATCTAGTACCTTATTCGATTTTACTTGCTTTGAGCTTCATTTGTCAATGAGCTGAATGAGTGTTTTTGGTATATTTACCTGCAGAGGTAGAGCACTCCATTTGTTTTTCCATGCCTTTTATGCCTCATCTCTGTGCTTATTTATGTATCTCAAGTCCCCCATTCATTGTGTTTGTGTTTTGATAACTTTGTGATGCTACTCTTCTGCTATTGCATTCCAAATTCAAGGAATGCAATTGAGTAGCAATGATGTGCTAACCACCCTCATGCTGTGACAGTAGTTCACCAAAGTACTTATGTTAGTTCTTGGAGGCACAGTGGTCAGGTGGAAGGGAAATTGATCTTGGCACTGTGGGTGCCCGGGGCCCGAGAGCATCTGATTCAAGATGGAATAAGCTATGAATAAAATCCACTTTAAATTGAAGGGAAAGTGGTAACACTTTAACAATAAGGACAGAGTTAAAATCAATGACCTATGTAAACTCCATATTGAAACAATCAACATCATAGTCTTTCATTTCAGCAGTGCAATAAAAATTGACCTAAAGAATTGACACAACGGTTTCACAGATATTAACCCATAAAAATGGCTTTGTTTTCTGGAAAGTACATTGAACTTATTTACAAACCATTTAATTTTTAACAGTTTGCGTACTTCAGCTTGGCAAAACCTCATTATTTTTACTGTCTGACTTAATTAAAGTTATCATGATTTCCGAAATAAATATTGAATCCACTCAGCATAATGTAGGTAAATTGATTACACTCATCAAGGATTTTTTGAATTAAGTTACATTTTTCAGCTGCATATCCCTTTAACACAAGTATTTCCCTTCTCTTATTATGCCTTTGAAGTGCTTTGGAACATCCTTCTGACTTGAAAGATGCTTTGGAAATGTAATTTTGTTGTTGTTGTTGTTGTATCTCCATGACTATTTTGCCCACTCTGTAAGACTTCACTTTGTAACCACCTGATAGGCATTGATGATGGGCCTTAATTTGTAGTAATTCTTAATAGATGCTTGAAAAAGGAATGTGCGTTGCACAACCACTGATTTTTTTAAATAACCAAATGTATATGCCTCTGGCCCATGGGGTGGGGGGGGGGGGAAGAGAGGGGATGGCAGTCATGGCTTAGATGCCAGAGACCGGGAGGGAAGGGAGTACAAGGTAGCAGAACGATAGTGGAATATACACTATACTTACACTACCCTGGCGGATTTGAATAACTATACAGTTTAGCCTTGATCAATTATTGATGTGCTGCACTGATTAAATTATAACTTAATTTTAAATAAAAAATAATCTTAGGTAGATTGAATATGGTTTGGCAGATATGCAAGTAAGAATTGAAGATTTTGAATTGGTTTGTAAATGTCTAGCTGGTTTTGGAAGTCAGTGGGATGTGGAGGTAGGTGTTCCCCAAATATGGTGTCAAGGAGGACATCAAAGATATTAATTGGAAGATACGGAATAATCATTCCCAGTTGTTGATACAGATTAATGAATAAGGGTCTAGTTGGATGGAACTTTGACTTTGGCCCAGTTCTCTGGGACAATGCTGAAAAGAGCTCTTTCATCTATTGCATCTCTCTTCAACAAAAGTGAAGTCGCAATGCAGTGTATAAAACTGGTTTGTAAATAATTTTCTTTATGTATGTAGGCATGCAGCATAATTGTTTCCCATGGGCCATGACTAGGCTTTGTGCCTTTTTGTTTTAGCTGGTAGTTTAAGATAAATTCCATCCAGGTCTAGCACATTGTTTGATGCCTTAGTTTCCGCAAAATTCACTCTTGTGTTTTCTGGGCACAGGAGTGTCACCCAGTGCACATTGTAAGACTGACAAACAGAAACATGCATTGTTGGGTTTCTTATTGGCTGCAATTGGAGACGTATAATCACGACAAGGAAATATGACAGCCACGGAGAGAATACATTGGAGGTTCAGTAGGATGGCATCAGGAATGAGATACTCTAATTCAGTTGAAGGCTTGAAAGTTTTTTGTTGGAGCAAAGAAGGTTAAAGTGGGAATCTATTAGCAACCATCTTTATATGGTAAATAAATAGATTTCCAATGATTAGTGAATCAATAACAATAAGGCATTATCACCAGAGACAGGTTAGAAAAAATCTTTCTGCAGAGCATGTCATAATGTGAAATGCTTGACTACAAATGTCTATTGAAACTGAGTCTATATCCAAATGTAAGTATTTTTAGATAAATAATTGAGGAATGTAATATTGAAGGTTATGGGGATAGGACAGGGTGGAATTAGAATAGTACCACCAAAGATACAATCAGATAAATGGCCTCCTTCTCTGCGATAAACATTCAGTGATTGCAGGATTATGACTTTGAGTCTGAAGAATACTTTTTGCTCTACTTAAATCTGGAAATGCAGATGTTTCTATTAATGTTTTGTGCACTCAATCCCCTGATCTCATTCTTGTGGATTAATTAAAATTTTCAATGTCACTGTCTTTTGCAGGAGGAAACGCCTGCCATTTAAAATTAACAGTTGAAAAAGTAGACAGAAACTCAAAGTTTCTCCACATTCTACAAATCTAATCTATTCTAAGCTATCCAGGATGTTGAATCTGTATTTTAGAAAACTTTCTAACATTCAATTCTACTCTAAAATTAGCATCTCTTCTCCCTACCCTACAAATTTGCACTATTCTTTTTTGGTTCAGGTAGCAGAATGTCCTTCATCACACCTAAAGGAAGAGTACTTTAATAATTCAACAAGAAAACATTTCCAGTAATTTTTCATCTCTCCCCAGTGTTCTGGACAAACCTTTCAAACACAAAAGGGAACATAAGTTAGTAAGTTCTCTCCAAGTTGAGTCCAGATCTTCAGCATTTCAGCTGCCTAAATATCTCAGATTTTCTAAAGTTTTTTTTCTGTTGTTACATCTACAGTTCAAGTATTTTTGATAAGCCATGTTTATTCTGTTCTTTTTCCAGCTTGTTGGGTTTGTCTATGCCTGTTACGTTATTAAAGTTGTTGCTGAAGAAGAAGACAGCTGTAAGTATTACTTTGAATTTTGTAAAGATTCAGGAAACTTTAAAGTTACAAACCACAAATTTTTTAGTTATCCATTTAGAAATTTGATCAGTAGTAATTGCAGTGCCGAATAAATTCCCATTACACTTCAAATAAAGTATGGAGAAGTGCAAATATCAAGGTTCTCTATACTGGTGCAAAACATTCAAATTGAGCAATGACAAAAGCGTGAAAGGAGATTTGGGAGTAAAAGAACGGATATTGAACTGCCAACACAATAAACCAAACGATTTCTAGCAGGAAGCTCAGTACTTTGCAATGCAATCTCTAAAGAAATCTTATTTCCAGCACAGATTTGCCAAAGAGACATGTTTAATCAGTTTTCTTCAGCTGGAAGTCAAAAAGAATATTTAAGAATGACTTATCACTTTTCCCTGTGTTTGGTATTTTTTGTGCAAGAGATATGAAAGATTAATTTGTTATATTGATTTTAAGGGCTCCCAGTTTTTTGTAGATTACCATTTAAGTAGTGATTATCTGTGAAGTGCTATTACTGATTATGAAGGTGTATAGAGGACAGCATGTCCAATATAATGCAACTGAAATACTGCATATGTCTCACCCCAGCACAGGTACAAGTAAAAGGCTTGTTCCAACAATAGAGCTAATGATAAAGAATGGTCTGGATAGATTAAGGATTTGGGCTAACAAATAGTACATGCCATCTAATGTTGATAAATGCACTCATGAGATCAGGGAGCAGAATATACAATGAGAAATTCCATTGTATTTATATTCCCACTGGAAGACAAAGACATGGGAAAACAGGAACAGGAGGCAGCCATTCAGCCCATTAGTTTATTAGACTTTAACATATCTTTTAATCTCATTATCTTGCCTTTTTCTCCTGCCCTCACTACCCAAGTATCTGTCAATTTCTCTTTTAAACATCCCTATTGATCCTGCTTCTATGACGTTCAAGGGCAGAGAATCTACATCTTCTGAACCCTCATTGTGAAAAATTGCTTCCTGACCTCAGTTCTAACTGTCTTGGTTCTGATTTTAAGACTATGCCATAATATTACAGTATATTTTTCATTCTGCACTAGGGACAGAAATCACTATTATATTATGATCACCAATGCAGTCCACTGCATTTTAGATCAAACTATTCTATTATAAGTGACCACTCTGAAAGTTCCACACCCATACATCACTCTTCAAGTGGCTGACAGTATTTTAGCTTTCACCTCTCTCCTGTCCCGAAATGACTTTTGCTTCTTGTGAAAAGGCAAAGATACATTTCCTCTTGTCAATTACATTTTTTATAACCAGGAGACAACCAGAATTATACCACTGTTACTCTTATGACATATGAGAGACTGACTGTGTCATGCTGTAGTTCAGCACAAAAGTCTTTTCTTAGAATGTCAGAAAACACTATTAAGCTCTTGCACTGTTACTAAAGTGTAAAGTGTATCCAGTTGTGCTTAAATAGGTTTAACACAAGTGGACATTAAAGATCCCATGGCATTATTTGAAAAGATAAGAGAGTTTCACCTGGTGTCCCATTGCACATAACAGTACATCCTGTGAAGCGCTTTGAGATATCTTCCCAATGTGAAAAGCATTACGCCAAATGTAGGTATTGTTATTGTTATTATTATTATTATGTTATTGCAGTTTAGATCACTCCATGGAGGTGGTTTCTAAGTTTTTTTCAGTGATGGGTTAGCCTGACCAACAAATTTACCATATTATTATATTGGTACAGTACCAATATGTTTGGCCAAATTACTCATTGGTAATAATCTATTTGCTAATCATTAATAATTCTTGGCAAGATTACTATCCAAAATGAAACCCAAAGATCTTCTCTAACTTTGCAGTGCTGGATCCTATGATTCAGGATTTGGACATGTTTTCATAAGTTGTTTTAGAAGGTTTTTAACATGAGAGTTTGTTCAGAAACCTGTTACTTATAAAGTCTGCGGAAACCCTCAACTGAGGGATGAAAGATGATTCAAGGGAAGCTTACCAATGATTAATTGACCCAGAATTCCATCTAGTTCATTACATTTTGCTTGTAATCGTTGTCAGTTATTGGGTTCCTCAATGTGATTTGGCTTGCAAATGAAGTTAGTGCAGGCAAACCCAGATATGGCACAGTCAGCTGGGCTCAGAGCATCAGCAGCTGTATTCAACAACAATGACTTGCATTTATATAATACCCTTCATGTGGAGTAGCGTCCCGGAGCACTTAAGTTTGTTCTAGATGAAGCACAAACAAATGGCCAAATTCCATGTTGGCAGATTGCTGCTGAGTCGTTTCCGGTGCATAGGGCACATGCACAATGCGCAAAAAGTGACATCAACATGCAAAAAGTGATGTGATCACTATGGGATTTTATGGATGACAACTTTTGTGTTATAACAAGGCTCCACTGTACTTCAACCAAACAAATTAATCTGAATCAACTGTGCCGTTGTGTCATTAATTACAATGAATTGAAGATAAAGATTCCATTGGTACAAAATATCATTAAGCCAGTTCCCAAGAACATGAATTAGGATGTTTCTATCAGAAGATACCACATATGCCTGGAAATATACAGTATGTTCATTATCACAATAAAATGAGGGTAGGCATAGAGAGGAAATGTGCTGTGAGAAATGGAAGGTGGATAAGAAGCTGCGTTGGTTGGAAAAAGTCACTTGTCAGTGACAAATTTCCATTTTCTTTGTTTGTACAATTAATTGCCAGTGTTTTAGACAGAAAACCTCATCTCATTCTTGCAGCATGCTTGACATTGGAGGAAAATTGGTTATGGATTGCTGCTTTCATAAATAATGAAAGTGCTGCAGATAGGGTTCTCAGGAGGCTATAGTGTAGTCATATACAAAAACTAGCTGGGGCGGAGGTGGTGTGATAGTTTCATACATGTTAATTTTATTTCTGTAGGGCTTGTCATGCTTGGTTTCCTGGCCAGCCAAATAATATGATTTAACACTTTCATTGACATCAGTCTATTTTTGTATATGAAGAAAATACCAAATACAACCAGATGAATACTGTTTTGCATTACTGGCTTATTGAAGACCATCTAAAACCCACATAAATCCTACAGCATAAAGATCACCTTTGCAAATCTTTGCATATTTTATTCAGCTTAATTTGTGTTGGTAAAAATTATACTTAGACTTTTAATCACTTTTGGGTTCCCAATATTCTCCACAGAGGGTGTTGGTGCAGACAAAAGTGTAAACTCAGGTACAATTAATCCTGACTTTTGTCGCTGTACTAATTTTTCTGTCAGGAGCTGAGTTCACTATAATTAGAATTTAAATTATACTCAAATTCATGTCAGTCAAATTGAAATCTAAGTGTGAGAGAAAAGGCTGCAATGAATAAAAAGTACAGAACTCATCTCTCGCTACATTAATAAATGAAATGTTTTAAATAAATTAAATTGTGCTGATGAGAACCATGAATTAATGAAGTAAATGTTTTGTTTTTCAGTCCATTTTTTCAAGTAATTGGTCTTTTTGTGTTTTTTTTAAAAACGGTTCTCATTTGTGCGTGAAATGACCGTAATCGTTGCTTCATATATAACTACCATAATTCTCACCATCACATTCTCCATGCTAAGTAGTGAGGAAGGGGAAAATAAAATAGAGGGAGAACCTGTGCTAGTCTCAGTTTTCAGCACTGAGAATTTGGTTGTCCCTCCAAGTGGAACACTTTGCCTCTGGTGTTGAGAAAAAGTATGATTCTGTGAATTATCAATAAATGTTGTGTGAGCACAACAGCTGAAACTTGTTTTTGTAGATTATTCTTCAGTCTCCCTCTGCTATTTAGGCATTAATTCAAAGAGGCACATGTCAGACATTTGGGCTGAATTTCCAGTTGGCTGTATTTGTGGTGCCTTCGGCAATACAAGATTATTATGGGTAAAATCCTATGAACTGTCAATATTGCCAAAGGCGATGATGCTGACCGGGATTTCAGTCCAGTTATCTTTGAAGGGACTGTGTTAGATATTAAGTGTGCTTGAATGATATTTCTGTCTGTCTTCCATTATAGTTGATTTCATAGGAGGATTCGACTCATATGGCTACCAAGGTCCACAAAAAACATCTCATTTACAGTTGCAGCCCATGTACATGTAAGTATGTGTTACAAATAATTCAGTAAATCAGGTTAAAGTTAATATTATATAGCTGTATATACGTAATTATTTATTAATACCATTATTGCAATTTACAAAAAAAGTGTTTAATACTCTGCCTATACTCTATAAGAACAATAAGTGATATTCTTTTAAATTTTCGCATAGACATCAGGATAGCCACCAAATGCACAGACAAAAGCAGTAAATAGGCAGGAATAGCCATAAGCATACTCTGCCAATGAAAGTTCATAAATCAGTTCATTCTATTTCCCATGGGATAATAAAAATTAGAACTTGCAGCTATATATATGTGCATATATCAAGCACTTGTATAATGCGATTGCACTTTGAGCCTGATTATACTGCAAATGAATGGAGATGAGGCCCTGCTGTTTTTATTGTTAACCTCTTAAACTCACAAAAATGGTTGAAAAATAGCAACTTTTTTTGAGAAATGGAGTATGGTTTGGGCATTTTTTATTGTGTCTCGTTTTCATTTTACCTGACATGATGGAACATAACAATGTGTCACATTGAAGTTAATGGATACAGGATGAATTCTGTCCTTTATACGATTCATATCATCTTGAGAGGACAAGCTACCAAAAGTGTTACCAAAAACAAACCATTGAATACGGGTGATTTTTTGTCCCCTCCAAAATATGTGAATTCAAATAGAGAAATATTATCAGTGCTATACAATCTGTAGGGCTTACAGATGAAGACTCTAATTAAACAGCTCTGAAATGTTATGGTATTAACATGAACATTACGAAGGGATGCTTTCCAAAAAAATATATGGGTTGCTAAGACAACTGTTGGGTGTTTGTGCCTTTCAGACAGTATTCTGGGGTAAATCCATTCACCAGCCTAAGCAGGGATACTGCCATTTTCACAAATCGAAATCTTAATTTACTTCGCCACACTCAAACAATCAACAGTGAACTGCTAATTTACTACCACAGCAAGATACTTTGCATATGCTTATCTTTACAGAAGATCAGGGGATGGCAGATTTAAAAAAAAAATTTCACATAATTGTTCATAAAGACAGATTGTGCTGTAATTTCAGATCTCGATATTTTGGCTCAAGAATCTTTAACACCAGGAAATAGCAATTGAGCATATGTGTCTTATAAAAAATGAATCTCTACAAGATAACTATGGCTGATTAGATGCACCCTAAGATCCACAAGAATCAGAAGCTGTATAAATGGAGGTAGTAAACGTTATCCCCTTATTCCAAAAAAGAGTGAAAGATGTGCCTAGATATGATAGACAAGTTGTATTTGTCATTCTGCAGCTATTTGGATGATCCTGCGAATGGCATATGTGTCTCTCAAATATGAAACCATGCATGTCTAAGTACACACAGCCAATACAATGACTGGCTTGATAGATCAGTGCACTATGTGAGAATGCTCTCAGTGCTCAGCTAAAGATTACAGCCACTATACAAAGTAGTCAACAAACAAGTATTAGGTCATATGCCATGAATCTACTGGAGTTCTTTGAGGAGTTGCAAACCAGGGAATGGGGCTATCAGGTGAACATCACTTACCTCAAATTTCAGAAGAAATGTAATAAGATTACGCATGTGAGACTTTGAAATAAACTTAAAGCTTGTACATTTAAGTTAGTTGAAATTGGAATACAAAGCTGAAAGTTATGCAAAGGCAATAAGCTATAGGAGGCAGCAACTAGCTTCTCTGGAGGGATCTCTTTTGGGTCCCATACTATCAGATCTCTATCATTGTTTCAAAGAAACAATTTGTGTTTTTCTCCCGGTTATTCTGACATATCCCATCCTCATCCAGATTCATCCCAAATTAAAATATATTATTCCATCGTAGCTTGCAAGACATTTCTGGCACAGATTAGCTGCTATGTTTGAGTACAACAACAACAAGATTACATTTGGACAGCGCCTTTCAAGTTGGGAGGACGTCCCAAGGTGCTGGACAGTGTACAGCATTTCAGACCCGAGCTGTGGTCAGGGGGGAGAAAGGGAGGGGAGGGGAAGGGGGTTGACCAATGGCATGGTCGAAGAGAAGGATTTTGAGGTGGGACTTGAAGGAGGCTAAGGAGGGGGTGAGGTGGAGTGATTGGGGGATGGAGTTCCAGAGGTTGGGGGCAGAGTGGCTGAAGGCTCTCCCGCCGATGGTGGGCCAGGTGGTTCGGGGTACGTGGAGCAGGCCAGAGCCAACTGAGCAGAGGGAGCAGGCGGGTTGATAAGGGGTTAGGAGGTCACAGAGATAGGGTGGGGTGAGACCATTGAGGGCTTTGTAGGTGAGGACCAGGATTTTGAACTGGATCCTCTGAAGGATAGGGAGCCATTGGAGTTGGGCGAGAGTGGGGGAGATGGGGTCACGGAGTTTGGTGTGGGAGAGGACACGGAGTGCATAGTTCTGGATTATCTGCAGCCTGTGGAGGGAGGAGTTGGGAAAGCCGACAAGCAGGGTGTTTGCATAGTCGAGCCTGGAGGTGATGAAGGCATGAACAAGAGTTTCAGCAGCCTGAGGGGTGAGATATTGGCAGAGTCGGACCATGTTACAGAGGTGAAGGAAGGCAGAGCGGGTCATGGCTTGGATGTGGGGAAGAAGACAGTTGAGGGTCGAGGTTCCTGACTGGCTGGTGAGTTGAAGTGTGCAACCATGGAGATTGATGCTGCCAGAGCCTGAGGTGCTGAGGCGTTGGCGTGAGCCAATCAGGAGGGCCTCAGTCTTGTTCACATTCAACTGTAGGATGTTTGCCCTCATCCAACAACCATCACTTTATTTCTAATTAATTTCTTTGAGTGCTTTGAGATATTTATTTTACAGAAACCAATCACCTATTCCCTTGACACCATCCCTATCCCATCTCCTTTACCTCCCAGCTCCACCTCCTTGCCCCTCTATTCACAGACATCGTAAACAGCTCCCTGTACACTGATACTGTTCCCACCCCATTAAAAACGTCTGTCGTCACTCCTATCCTTAAAAAATTCTCCCTGTACACATCTCTACTCCCAAACTACCACCCCATCACCCACCTCCCTTTCCTCTCTAAGAACCTGGAATGAGTTGTTGATTCCTAGCTTCGCTCCTTCCTCTCCCGCCACTCCCTTCACTAAACCCTCCAATTGGGATTCTGTGCCACCCACAGCACAGAAACAGCCCTGGTCAAAGTGACAAATGACTTTCTGTCCATTACTGACCAGGGCTCCCTCTGCCTCCTTGTCCTCCTTGACCTCTCTGCTACCTTTGACACCGTCGACCACTCTATCCTCATCGACCACCTCTCCTCTCACCTCAACCTCATGGGTCTGTTCTTGACTGGTTCAGATCGTACCTCTCAACCGGCTCCACTTCATCTCCACAAACGGTTTCTCCTCTAGCCCCCACACCATCTTGTGTGGCGTTCCTCAGGGCTCTGTCCTTGGTCCCTTCTCTTCAATATCCATATGCTCCCTCTTGGTGACATCATTCACAGACATGGGGTCAACTTCCACATGTAGGCGGATGACACCCAATTGTACCTCTCTGCCTCCGTCCTTGATTCCAGGACCACTGCTGTCCTGACAGAATGTCTGTCAGACATCAAGTCCTGGATGAAAGCTAACTTACTTCAGTTGAACGTCAACAAGACCGAGGCTCTCCTGATTGGCTCCCGTCAGCACCTCTGCATCTCAGGCGCTGACAGCATCACCATCCAGAACCTTGACATCTTGTTTGACCCTCAACTATCTTTTCTACCCCAAAACTGTGCCATGACCCACTCTGCCTTTCCCCACCTCTGCAACATCGTCCGGCTCCGCCACTGTCTCACACCGCACTCTGCCAAATCCTTCATACATGCTTTCACTACATCGAGATTTGACTATGAAAACTCATTGCTTGTCGGTCTCCCCAACTCCTTCCTCCATAGTCTGCAGATCATCCAGAACTCTGCAGCCCGTGACCAGCCTCCATGACCCTATCACCCCCATCCTCGTCTGACTCCATGGCTTCCCATCACACAGAGGATACAGTTCAAGATCCTGGTCCTCACTTTCAAAGCCCTCCATGGTCTTGCTCCCCACTAAACTCCTACCATCCTGCTTGCTCTCTCCATTAGGTGGGCTCCAACATGCTTCATGTCCCCTACCTCACTCGCCCCATCACTTCTGCCCATCTGCTCCCACCATCTGGAACTCCATCTCACAGTCCCTCCACCTTGCTCCCTCCCTTGCCTCCTTCAAGACCCATCTCAAGACCCTCCTTTTTGACCATGCTTTCGATCACCCTGCATCCTCCCCGCCCTCCACCCTCCCTGATCCCAATCCTCAGTTCGGGTACGAAACGCTTACTGTCTAGCTCCTTGGGATATCCTTCCAATGTGAAAGGCGTGATACAAATGTAATTTTGTTGTTGTTGTACAGGAAAGCCATTTTACAAATGTTCAAGTTGATGCTGTTGATGGAGATTTCATCTTGAAATAATATTAATTTTACCTTTGATTCCATATTGCATGCCAAATGGCTAACATGAGTTCAAAGAGCATTTAAGAAGATCTGGAAAAATTAAGCTGATATTACTGGAACTTTAATGTAGATTCAGGCACTCACACACCACACAGTTGTTTCTGGAACTCCGTCCCAGACTCTATCTACCACATATCATCCCTCCTTTCAAATCCTGCTTTAAGACCTTTCGTTTCAACAGCACTTTAAGCCATCTCCTTCCCCCCCACGAGATCAAGCTCCCAGTCAGCTGTGTGTGAAGCACTTCAAGATGCCTTTTGATGTGAAAGGAGCTAGATAAACATAAATTGCTGTTGCTGTAGATAAATACAAGGTGATGGGTTCTAGAAACAGAAAGAGCAGATAAGTGAAAACAATAAAGGAATGTCTACTAGCAAAGATGAGAACAAAAAGGATCTGATTGTCTATTATTGATAATTCACTCAATAATTCAGAATTGATAATTCAAAATCTTAGTCAATTTCAAACTGATGTCAACAATCAACCTCTA